GAACCCCTATGTGGGTGTCAGGGGGGTGAGGGAACAGGCAAGAGGGAGGGCTGAGAAGGAGGTGACCCCGGGTCTGGGGAAGAGGTCAGCTGGCTGGAACGTTGTGTGTGGACAAGCCCTCTACAGCAGTTCTGGCCTTTTGGGACCCAGCCGCTGTAAACGAAGGAAATAACCTAAAAGAAGACAGTACCCAGACCCCCACCCAGTGCCTCCAGGATGATGTCAGCTCCTCCCAAATCCTTCCCGCCAGCCCCAGAGCACCTGAGAGTTCACATTCTGTCCTCCGCCGCCCGCATCATCCAACCTGATCCCGCCAGACTCCGGAGCTTTAACCACCAAGACACGTTTCCCCACAGTTCCGGAGTTCAGGGTCCAAGGTCAAGGCCTCGGCAGGGCTGGTTCCTTCCGAGGGCTGTGAGGGAGAATCTGTCCCCACCTCTCGGGCTGCTGGGAGCCTCTGGAGTCTGTTGGCTTGTCTGAGAGGTTCTCTGGATGAGTTAGAGAGTGCGTGAGGAGGGGAGGGCTCGTGGAGGAGGCAGAGTGGGGAGGGCGGCGAGCATTGCTGGAGAGGCTGCAGCTCCACTTCCTCTTTTGAATAGGAGGGTCTGGATGGGCCTCATGAGGAGATGACTTTTGAGCAAAGCGGTGCAGGTGCGGGAGCTGCTCCCACGGACTCCAGGAGGAGAAAGGAGCTGGCAGGACAGGCCTGGAGGTGTGAGTGGGTGGTGCAGGATGGTGAGAGAGCAGAGGAGATGAGGTCTTTATCTTCTCATCTCAGTTCAAGCCCCACAATACTGGCTTTGTGGAAACCATCTTGAAGTGTTCCCATTAAGGGGGAGGAGCCCACTCTGCCTGTGGCGCCCTAAGGACAGAGGGATCTGTGTCAGTATCTGGCCCCTGACCAATCATATTCACACATGCCTGTAATCCCCGCATTTTGGGAGGCCAGTTGGGAGGATCACTTGAGGCAGGAGTTCAAGACCAGCCTGGACAATATAGGGAGACATCCCCATCTCTACAAAAAATTCAGAATTAAACGGCGCACCTGTGCTCCCAGCTACTTGGGAGGCTGAAGCGGGAGACTCACATGAGCCCAGGAGTCGGAGGCCTCAGTGAACCATGATTGTGCCACTGCACTCTAGCAAGACCCTGTCTTTTTCCTGTGTTTTGTTTTGTTTTGTTTTTTGTTTTTAAAAATCAGGGTCTTGGTCTGTCACTCAGACTGGAATGCAGTGGCATGACCTTGGCTCACTGAATCCTCAGTCTCATGGGCTCAGGCGATCCTCCTATCTCAACCTCTTGAGTAGCTGGGACCACAGGTGTGCACCACCACACCTGGCTAATTTTTGTATTTTTCCATAGAGATGGGGTTTCACCATGTTGCCCAGGCTGGTCTCGAACTCCTGAGCTCTAGTGATCCTACTGCCTCAACCTCCCAAAGTGCTGGGATTACAGGTGTGAGTCACCGTGCCCAGCCAACCCTGTCTTAAAAATAAAACAAAAATACCTGACCCCTGAAGCCTCATGCTATGGGGATGGTTCAAATCTTCATCATAAGCTGGGCTGCATTCAGGTTGCAGGTATGATTTGTTTAACTTGTGCAGTTTAAACAAAAACATTTGGCATGGGGGGAATTTTGAATAGATTGCCCAGATTTTATTTATTTTGTATTGTGCTCTTTTTATTTTTTGGAGGAAGGGCACAAGGGCCCTTATTTTAAATGGAAAGATTTTATGTAAAGATACAGATTTCTAGGCCGGGCGCAGTGGCTCATGCGTGTAATCCCAGCACTTTGGGAGGCTGAGGTGGGCAAATCACCTGAGGTTGGGAGTTCGAGACCAGCCTGAGCAACATGAAGAAACCCCATCTCTACTAAAAATACAAAATTAGCTGGGCGTGATGGCGCATGCCTGTAATCCCAGGTACTTGGAAGGCTGAGGCAGGAGAATTGCTTAAACCTGGGAGGTGGAGGTTGCGGTGAGCCGAGATCACACCATTGCACTCCAGCCTGGGCAACGAGAGCGAAACTTCATCTCAAAAAAGAAAAGAAAATATGTCTTTTGTATGGCTTCTGGAATTTGAATCATAGTTAAAAGGTCATGCTTGATACTAATACTATTTTGGGTCTAGTACTTGCATTTAAATATTTACTACATTGGATTCTTCTCTGGTGTACAGGGTGAGGTTTGAATCTGACTTCATCTTTTTCCAGATGGCTCCTCAGCTGCCTAATGCCATTTGTAGACAAGTCTGTCTTTACCCTGTTCACGTAAGGGGCTGCCTTGGTCAGACACTGAACGCCCATCTGTACTTGGGTCTGTGTCTGACTGCCTGTCTATGATCGTACTGTACCACATGCTTTAAGTTGAGGCCCAACAGAGGATTTTCTTTTTTTTTTTTTTTTTTGAGATAGAGTCTTGCTTTTGTCGTCCAAGCTGGAGTGCAATGGCACGATCTCGGCTCACTGCAACCTCCGCACCCCAGGTTCGAGTAATTCTCCTGCCTCAGCCTCCCAAGTAGCTGGGATTACAGGTGTCCGCCACCATGCCCGGCTAATTTTTGTATTTTTAGTAGAGATGGGGTTTCGCCATGTTGGCCAGGCTGGTCTCAAACTCCTGACCTCAGGTGATCCACCTGCCTTGGCCTCGCAAAGTACTGGGATTACAGGCGTGAGCCACTGTGCCCGGCCTGAGGATTTTCATATCTGACGGGACCATCTCCCTTCATGGCTCTTTTACAGAGTTTTTCTACTAGTCTTTTTTTCTTTTCCTTTTTTGAGACAGGGTCTTGCTCTGTTGCCCAGGCTGGATTGCAGTGGCAAGATCTCGGCTCACTGCAGCCTCTGCCTCCCTGGCTTAACTCTCCGACTTCAGTCTTCCCAGTAGCTGGGACTACAGGCGTGTGCCACCATGACTGGCTAATCTTTCAGCTTTCTGTGTAGAGATGGGGTCTTGCTTCATTACCCAGGCTGGTCTCAAGCAATCCTCCCACTTCGGCCTCCCAAAGTGCTGGAATTACAGGTGCCTGACCTCCTGCTATTCTTGCCTGTGTAATTTTTCCACGTGAACTTTAAAATCAGGTGGTTTAGGCTCCCCCCATACAAATCTTGTTTGCATATCATATATGTATAGTTTAGTGTTTTTTTGTTTGTTTAATTTTTTGAGACAGAGTCTTGCTCTGTCACCCAGGCTGGAGTGTAGTGGCACCATCTCAGCTCACCACAACCTCTGCCTCCCTGGTTCAGGCAATTCTTATGCCTCAGCCTCCCAAGTAGCTGGGACTACAGGCGCCCGCCATGACACCTGGCTAATTTTTTTTGTACTTTATTAGTAGAGACTGGGTTTCACCATGTTAGCCAGGCTGGTCTCAAACTCCTGGCTTCAAGTGATCCATCCGCCTAGGCCTCCCGGAATGCTGGGATTACAGGCGCAAAACACGGTGCCCAGCCCATATATGTATGTTTAAATAATAAAATAATAATGTTAATAACAGTAATAACCTGTGCACCCATCACACAGCTAAAACAATGACACAGCACCCGTTCCTTTGAACCCTCTCCAGCCCCTCCTAGACCCCACCCAGAGGTAAACACCTGTCTATTCATTCAGCAAGCACTTTGGGAGCCCCTCCTATGTGGCAGGCACAGTTCTTGGTCCTGAGGATACAGCTGTGAACAAGGCAGACCAAACTGTTTGTCCTCATGGAAGCTGAAGTCTAGCAGAGGAGAGAAGCAGTCAACAGGCAAAGGATGAAGTGCCTTAGAAAGTGCTATGCGGGCTGGGCGTGACGGCTCACACCTGTAATCCCAGCACTTCAGGAGGTGGACAGATCATTTGAGCTCAGGAGTTTGAGACCAGCCTGGCCAACATGGCAACACCCGTCTCTACTAAAAATACAAAATTAGCTGGGTGTGGTGGCGGGCGCCTGTAGTCCCAGCCACACTGGAGTTTGGGGCAGGAGAATTGCTTGAACCCGAGAGGCAGAGGTTGCAGGGAGCCGAGATCACACCACTGCACTCCAGCCTGAGCGACAGAGGGGAACTCTGTCTCGAACAAGAGAAAGTGCCATGGAGAAAAATAAGAAGGGGTGGTGGGGAGGCTTGGCCATGCAGGTATTTGAGAAAGATTTATACGGGGGAGGGAACAGCCCTGCCTCTTATCCCTGTGGACACCTGCAGCTCTAGTCCCCGTGTGTCCTGCTGAACGGGTTCCGTACAAACACACCTCAGTTCACGTTTCCATCCCTTCCAACCGCCGGCAGCTTCCAGCTTGCGATTACCCCCAGGGCCACAGGGGACCCTCTGCCCTTTCTGAACACTCCCATGCAGGCCGTTCTTGAGGGGACATTGCTCAGGAAGGAACTGCTGAGTGTTCAGCCTGCAGTTGAGGCCGAGTTGTTGGCCACCATCGGGATGGGGGCAGAGAACCAAGTCAGCGCCCGAAGCTGAAGCTGGGCACCACCCAGGCCTCGCAACTCCGCTCATGTTTCTTTTTTCATTCAGTGTCTTCTCAACAAACGATGACACGATTGGTACTTATTTGCTTTTTCCTAGGAATGAGTTTCTCAGAGACGAGAGGTCCACCATCCACCCGGCTGTCAGCCTAAGCTCCTGCCCTCATTTTGCACCGGCCCTTTGGGGTGGCCGGTGAGGGCCCGTGTGGGCTGACAGGTCCGTGGTCAGGCGGCCATGGTTGAGCCCTGGTCCAGCTGGACCCCAGGACAGGGAGTCCTGGGCAGCTGAGGACGTCGGGGGCAGATGGGAGACATGGGCACTGGTTGGAAAGGCCTGGGGGGTTCCAGCGAACTCACAGAGCGTCCCCTGAGCCTGACGGACAGCACTGACGCCACTGTCTTTGTGCTTCTGCCTCCAGGTCTGGTTCTGAACAGAGACCAGAGGCTATCCTGGGTGAGTACCGCTGCGTCTGCGTCCCCCTTGCCACGGTTTGCTTATTAGCATCTTTATCGTTTTTGAAAATTACACGCTGGGCATGGTGGCTCGCTTTGGGAGGCTGAGGCGGGTAGATCACCTGACGTCAGGAGTTTGAGACCAGCCTGGCCAACATGGTGAAACCCCTTCTCTACTAAAAATACCAAAAA